AGTGTGCCAGTGATGATGAGCCCCCGAGGAAGAGATGTAAGACTGATGTCCTTCAGGGTGACACTCACCTCTGCCAGGGTGCACTGCCTGCTCTGGCACCTGCAGATGGTGGGAACTTGGATGCAGCTGTTTCTGAGCCTGCCCCAAGGAAGGAAAATGTTACTGGGGGTGAAGAAGCTCCAGGAGGAGGCTCCCTGGAGCCCCCAGCTGAACTCCCAGAGCCTGCTCCAGAGGCTGGGGATGTGGACACTCACAAGGAACAAGACAAATCTCATTCTGAGGACAAAGAACCCGAAGTAGAGAACGATGAGCTCAGCACTGAGCACAGCAAGCAGATCCCTGTCCCTGAACAATCAGCCAGTGAGCAGGATGATGATCTTTCCTGCTTCCAGGAGAACCCAGGAGTCTCTAAAGGTATGGAGAGCCCTCTGCATCCCTGAAATACAAACCAGCTCATCAGCACTTGATCCCAAACCAGTAGCTCCACTTTATAAGCAAATCCTAGATTCTTTATGCAGCTGTACCAGAGCATTTGTCTTCTCTCACAGATAAATTGGCATAACACTAAATTCATCTGGAAGGTCTCAGAGTTTTCAAATACATCCCATAATCCTTCCTATGCCTTTTGCTGGAATGACTAGTCCAGAAGTATGCTTTCCTTAGAAACTTGTTTCCATGTCTTAAATTTTTCCAGAATAATTTGGATCCAAAGTTTCTCATCTCTGGCTTCAGTTCAAAGGTCAGGCATCTGTAAGCCTAGAAAACACAGCACTGCTGGTGTGCATTTAGCTGGAATGTCCATGGCTGAAAGTCCTAAACTCATTAAACCATTCACCAGGAAGCAGCACATGCCAGTGAGATTGAACAGCCTCATTTGTAACCCAATTGGACTTCATTTTCCTGTCCTTTTTACTGCCAGTTTTCTAATAGCTGGTAGTTCTTGCCAAGCTTTACATTTAGTAGTTTGTGAGGGATTTCATTTTGGTTTGGTTTTTATGAGCCCTAATCTCAGACTGAACCACAAGCTCACTGCTCCTGTGGTACCTTGCCAAGCCCTGCCAGAACCCAGGTCCAGAGGGTGATCCCTAACATCCCACAGCTTGGGATTGTTTAACTGGAGCCTTCCTGCAGGAAATGCACTCAGGGCTGTCTAAACAGCAGAGACCTCAGCAGTTCTTAAATTAAACTACTTCAGTAGTTTAATTTAACTTCCCTGGATTTAACATCCTTGACTTGTTTGAAGCAGAGTAGGGAAAAAACAGGAGTTCAGTATCAAACACAGAGTCCTCACTGGCCAGTGAATGTTTACATGTGCTTAAGCCAAAGCTGTTACCTTCTGGGTGTGGTAGGAATACCTCATTAAGTAATTGTCTAATTAAAACCCATGACATAATGTAATGGGAGGTGCAGAGACAGGCTTTGCTTTGAAAGTGAGCCCTGCTGGAATCCTGAGTTTGCATTCACATCTCCAGCTCCTTGGAGCTCTGCCCTACATCCCCCTGATTTCCAGGAGCTTTAGGTTACCCAGACCCCTGGAGAGCTCCAGGCTGAGACCCTGCACAGCTCTCTGTGCACCTCAGTTCCCTCAGCCCATACAATCACCATGGTTCAGCCACAGCATCAGACCTCCAGGAATAAAACCTGCTGGGAGTGGGGAAAGGAACCGCAGAAGGTGGGGTTGAGTAAAGAGATGTGGTTATAGGAGGTGTGGGAAGAGTGTGCTGCAGGCAGGGCAGAGGGGCAACTCAGAGCTCCCCAAAACTGAGAGCAGCACGTGGAGCAGTTTGCTGCTGTGGTTTCCTAGCAAGCTCTTGCACCTCACAGCTTGGCCACCTTTAACTCTCCTTCCATTAGATAAGGAATTTGAGTTAATTAGAAAATATGTGTCCTTTTCTTTCCAGGAAGCTCCATGACAGATGTCTCCCAGGCAGCCAGGGACCGGTGAGTAACAGAGATGTCTGCAGAATACCAAACACTGTCAAAAGAGTACTGGGAGCAGTGGTTTGGAAACCTCAGTTTTATGCTCTGATGAGCAGTGATGGAGAAACCCCACTCCATTGTTCCTGTTAATGTTCCTTGTGCTCCTGTGCATACTGAAAAAATGTCTGTGATAGATATTTTTACCCAAAATCCAATGAGCTCCAAATATCAGAGGACCAAAACTGACTTTACTGCACAAATGAGCCCGGTGCCAGCTTCCAGGTGCCCAGGTACTGCAGTATGAGCAGTATATGTGAATTTCCATGCAGGGACTGCCTTTTGGACACCACAGTGCTAAAAATGAGGGATTTGCTTCCCATCAGATCACTGTTGCTGCGTGGTGTGGGTCTTTCATAACTTTTGGAGGATATTGGAGCTTATACCAAACAAAGCTTTCCTGCTCATTGAGACCCACAGCAGCTGCTGGGTTTGTAATGGTGCTAAAAGGGGTGAAAAACGCAGATTTGGTAGAGCATCAGCAGCCCTTGCTCAGAGCAGCCACAGGATTTACACTTGTGTTAAAACTGATGCAGTGAGAACCTCTGTTAGGCAGAAATTACAACGATGAGAAACCCATCCCAAAGAACTCCTGAGAGCTGTTTTCCCTGTCTGTGGCAGGGCCTGCGAGAGCGTGTCCTTCATCGGGAGGCCCTGGAGGATCGTGGATGGGAAGCTGAACCAGCCGGTGTGCAAGGGGATGATGGAGGCCGTGCTCTACCACGTGATGAGCAAGCCGGGCGTGCCGCAGGCGGGGCTGCTGCAGCACTACAGCGGCGTGCTGCAGCCCGTGGCCGTGCTGGAGATCCTGCAGGTACAGCCAGCAGCAGCACTGCCAGCCCAGGGCATGGGCAGAGCACCCCAGTGCTCCCTGTGGGGTCAGGGAGCCACAGCCAGAGCGAGCTGCTGCTCCCAGGGAGGGAGGGAAGCCTGGGCTACCCGTGACTGCACACTCCCAGCCTGCTTCTGAAATGGACCCACAGCGAGGTGGAGTCCAGGGAGTTACTGAACAGTGCATGGAACTGAGTGTTTGATGCAGTGGTAATCACAGGATCATGGAATAGTTTGGGTTGAAAGGGGTGTTGGGACTGGAAAGTCTATCAGGTCCATTCCAACCCCGTAACATTCCATGACCCTATGAAGAATGCCCAGCAAAGAGGAAACCCAAGGTCCGTAAGGTCCAATCCAACCCTGTAACATTCCATGACTCTATGAAGAATGCCCAGCAAAGAGGAACCCAAGGTCTGTAAGGTCCATTCCAACCCTGTAACATTCTATGACCCTATGAAGAATGCCCAGCAAAGAGGAAACCCAAGGACAGGTGTTGATCTTTGGAGCTGCTCAGCCCCCTCAAGATCCTCTGGTTCCAGTCCCCAGTCTGGGGGATACAGATAATACATATACCACAGATAATCCAAGTATTCTTAATTTTTTTTCTTATATATCTTCTAGATGGGTAATCTGCCATGAGAATCAAACTGACATGTGTCTGTGCTAGACAATGTGTAAATCAGACCTTCTGACCTGCCTACAAAACCTTAATTGTCAAAAGATGGCAAGAAAATTTTGAGTTTTTCATAATTTTGTTTCCACATCTTGCCACCGCTTTGAAAATGGAACTTTGATTTCTATTTTTTTCCTATAAATATTCAGAATCTGAAGCAGAGCAGTAATCCTGCAGGCCTTCCCAAAAGCATGACTTCCCTGCTAATTGGAAATCCATTTTCCAGGGCTTGTGCCCTGAGGTGACAGTGCCAGCCGTGCATATCCTGTTCTGGATGTTCCAGAATGGATTCCTGGGCAATGTGAATTCAAACCCACAAAATCAAGCAATTAATTACCTCTACATTTTACAGAATGGGGAACTTCAATCTAACTTCTGCACCATTAAATTCACTAAGAATTTGGAAACCACAGCCAGAGCTTGTCATACACCTATTAACCATTAACAAGGACTGGCACAGAAGTCTGGGACTGACATCTAGAGCAGCCTTAGATTTTTTGTAACTGGTCCTAAATGTTGACATCTGTTGCTGAGCACCTTCTGTGTCAGTAACCATGTATCAATCACTGTGCTTGAAACTAACCAGATATATCCAGCTATAGCCACAGCTTGCATGGTTTTATTAAGGTGATTATTCTTTTTACCTCTGTGTTATAACCATGGGCTCTTCAGAAGCCACTTCTGGTATAAATTGTCCAACATTTCTGAGAAGACTGTAGCTAGAGCAGCATTCATAGCATATTAAAGTATGTGAATTTTTTTTTTGCAGGGTCTGGAAACTCTTGGTTGCATCAGACGATTCTACATGAAAAAGCCATCCCCAGTGTCACTTTTTTCTCAGCCAGTTGTGGATGAACAACTCCAGAATCCAAAACTGAGTGAAAGCCCTACCATCTACTACGAGCCTACAATAGACTGTACTCTCAGGCTGGGGCGAGTGTTCCCCTGCGACATGAATTGGAATAAATGGGTGCAGATCATCCCTGGATAGAAGGGGTCATAGGAAATTGGCTTAGCCTGTGGGAGGGAGTGTTCATGGAGATTAAATGTTACAATTTGTGCTCCATCATGTTTTTATTATTTATTATTTTTACTTCTGAATGTATTTAAACTAAGAATAAAGCTTGATGTGAAAACTACCTGTGATCCTACCTGAAGCACATTCTCCTTTTATCAGTAACTAGTTGCAGTGTGTAGTTTGTAGTTCCTGCTTTAACTGACGGGGTTTTCACAGGTCACAGCAAAGCCCCTTTTTTAATTTTTGGTTCTGTGTAAGGCCACAGTGGTAACACTTCACCTCTGCTTCGCCTTCTGTGCTGTGCTCAGGGCTGGGGTGCTTCAGCTCGGTTACCTTCAGGCCTGTCTGTGTTTTCAGCACGGGTGTTTCGATGTGCAGGGCACGACCTTATCACCCCTGCCCCGTGTGCATGACGGGCCCCCGGGGGCACAGCGCCCTGCTGGAGCCTGAGCCTGCTTCCCCTCCCTGCCAGGCCCAAAGCAACCACGCAGAGCCGCCTGCTTGCCCGCAGTGCCGCGTTTATTGCAAGAGCAGCAAAAATTGCGATGCCCGCTCCCCTCAGTCCCGCCAGCGGTGCCCGCACTGCGGGTTGCAGCACTTGTAGAAGGTGGTCATGGGCTCGTCGGCCGAGCGCGTCTGGATCTGCATGAAGTAGGCGCGGGGGTGCTCGCACTTGGGGCACGGCTCTGCGGGAAAGCGCCGTGAGGGGCCGGCAGGGCCCGGCGAGCCCCGCGCGGCCCCGCGGCCCGGCCCTACCTGCCGTGGAGTCCACGTTCTCCCAGGCCGCGGCGCCGCCCAGCACATCGTCCACCTCCTTCAGCCGCGGGTACTTCCTGCTCGTCACCTGCGGGCCCGGCAGCGGGAGCGGCTCAGCGGGCCCCGGGCACACGGCCCCGGGCCCCCGCCCCGGGCACACGGCTCCGGGCCCCCCGCCCCGGGCCGGCCCCGCGGCCCCCGCGCCCCGGTACCTTCCGCGTGACGTTGCGCACGTAGGGACAGGTGGTGCAGGCGAAGCGGTGGCAGCGCGGCCCCTCCTCGGCCACCAGCACGTTCCCGCAGGCCGGACAGAAGAGCAGCATCGCCGGTTCCGCCGCGCCGCCCGCCCCTTCCGGCGATGGCGGCCGAGGAGCCGGCGGAGGAGCCGGCGGAGGAGCTGGCGCACGCCGAGGTGCTGGAGCTGTTCCAGGCGGCGCTGGCGCGGCTGGTGCAGGACCCGCTGCTCTGCGACCTCCCCCCGCAGGTGGGCCCGGGGCGCGGGGCCGGGCCGGGCCGGGCCGGCGGGGCTGCGCTCACGGCCGTGTCGCTCGCCCGCAGGTGACGGCGGAGGAGATCGGCTCGCAGGTGGCCCTGGAGTACGGGCAGGCCATGACGGTGCGGGTGTGCAAGGCGGACGGCGAGACCGTGCGTGCGTGCGGGGCCGGGCGGGCCGGGCCGGGCCGGGCGGGGGCCGGGGCGCGGCGGGCCTGACCCGGCTCTCCCCCGCCCGCAGCCGTGGTGGTGGTGCAGAACGCCTCGGTGCTGGAGCTGAAGAAGGCGCTGCGGCGGCACATCCAGCTGAGACAGGCCCGGCAGGGCGGTGTCCAGCACCTCAGCTGGTGAGCGGGGCCGGGCGGGCGGCAAGGGAGCGCATCCCAGCCCGGTCCCGCTCCCGCGGCTGCCCCTGAGTGTTTTTCCCGCAGGAAGTACATATGGAGGACGTACCACCTCACCTTCAATGGAGAGAAGCTGGCGGATGACAGGAAGAAGCTGAGGGAGTGAGTAACACTCAGCTCTGGGGGGTTGAGAGGAGCCCACGCAGCATCCCCAGGGGCAGGGCTGAGCTGCGAGGTTGTGCCCTGGATCGGGGTCCTGTGCTGGACATCGGCTGGGAGGAGGGACAGCACTGCCCACAGAAATGGGACAGGCAGACCCAGAGGCTCTCTGGAGGACGGGCTGGCCTTGGGGGGTTCCTCATCCTCAGCCAGCACCATCCTGTACTGGGTTCAGCCAGTTCAGAGCACCCCACAGAACCCTTGTCCATCCCAGCCAAACTCCTGCAGAATGGTTACAGTTACTCAGCTCCACACCAATACTGATGTAGGATAGGAAAGAGCAGGGAACAGGAACTGGACAAGTGGCCCAGGGAAGTTGTGGATGCCCCAGCCCTGGCAGTGGCCAAAGCCAGGTTAGATAAGGCTTTGAGGAACCCGGCCTAGTGAGAGGTGTCCTGTCCATGGCAGGGGTGTTGGGACTGGATGATCTGTAAGGTCCATTCCAACCCCATAACATTCTGTGATTCTATGAAGAATGCCAAGCCAAGAGGAAACCCAAGGACATGTGTTGATCTTTGAGGCTGCTCAGCCACCTCTCAGACTGTCTGGTAGCAACACTGAGAGGTGACTCCCATGTTTCCTTGCCCATTCTTGAGGTGAGGTGGGATGAAGCACTTCCCTGCAGTGCTGGGTCTGCCAGCCTATTGCAGACCAGCGAGAAAAAGTGGTCTGAAGTACAAAAATTCAGCAAGACAGCCCAAATCAAAGCTGTCCTTGGAAGAGTGAGCCTGGGTGACAGATGTTGCATTTAATGGATTGTTAAAGGTAGTTGAGCAGCTCCTTCAGTGCTGGCAGCACATCCCAGATACACAAGTGAGAATTTTAATGTGTCCTCTAGTAAAGCAGAGCATGGGATGGTAGGAGTCCCTCTGTCCCTGGGAAAGATGAAGCTGTGGGGTTTCCCAGGTTGTTTTTCCTGGGAACTGGCATTTAACAGGCTGACTCTGTGTTCAGGTATGGCATCAGGAACCGGGACGAGGTCAGCTTCATAAAGAAGCTTCGCAAGTAACCTGTGGGGTAAGTCCTGAATGTCCACTGAGAGCTCCCAGCTCCTCATCTTCCCAGGCCATGGTGTTGAGGCTCAGAGCTGCTGCTGCTGCTCTCTGCTGGCTGGCAGAGTATCTCTCTCAATGTCTGCATGGGGCTGGTGCCTGTTTCCAGATCCTGGTAGTGTTGGCAGGGAATGATAATTCAGCTACTTCAGGTAACACAACACACTAGGAGCAGCAGCAGGAATAGCTGACTCTATGTTTAGACTCTCAATCTGCTTCTACATTGTCTTGAGATTCATTAAGCACAGTGTTCCTTTGCTGCTGTGATTGCTTCCAGGACCTTGCTTTCTTTTAAGCTTTTTAAATGTCTGGAAATCATTGTCAGGAGCATGGCTGGGTTTCTAACTCATGCAGACATAATTCTGGTATTAACACTGCTATTTTGAGAAAGTTGTGCACACAAACACAAGATGTGGCCAAGACTTTCTGGCTTAGTAAGTTTTAAATTGTGCTTTTAGAAACAGTCACAGTGGCTGAAGAACAGAGATAAGAGCAGCTTGTCCACAGCCTTGTGCTGTTTTGCTGCTCCAGGTAGCTGGGTTAAAAACCATTCTTTTGGACCACAGTTACATTTTATTCTTCTTTCAACACTGCCATATTTTCAAGATCCAGTGTAATAAAATGTGTGCCCTAACAACAGCCACCTGCTCCTGGGTGCCTGTGACCAGCAGTCACCTCTGGCACTGGCTGGTCCCTCCTGGACCATCATAGCAGCATGGTGAGAAAAGCCCAGCATGCAGTCATTATTGTCACTGACAAATATTTTCTTTCTTAAACAGAGAGAGCAGAGAATCCAACCCTACCAAGACCAGACTGTGGATTCAGCATCATCCTGGAGGAAAAGGCTGTCACACTTCAAAGAGGAACAAACTCCATTGACTGGACATTCTCACGTTTTTTACAGTTGCTGTTTGTGGTGTTTGCCTCTGAGCTATATGTGGATTCCAGGGATTAAAGAGACCCTCTAGTTTTCTAAGGCTTTTCAGGCCCTTATTTCAAGCTGCAGATGTGTATGTGGCTGGTTTGGGTGCTCCACAGGGTACATGAAACAGCAGCAGTGAGATTGAATAACAAAGGTAGGCACAGACTACTCAGAACAATTCACAGTAGCTAAAACGCTACCTCACCGTTTAATCACCACCTTAGCAGTAGTAAACAACTCTGGTTAAAAATGTAGTATTGAAACTAGTGTAATAAAAATAATGGCAGCAGAAAAGGTTCAATACAATTGAACAAGGCACAAACGTTCTGTTTTTCAGAGTCTTCTGAGATAAGGCAAACCATGCCTGCCAAGTGCTAAGGAGACAGTTTAAATTAACCACGGGCAGGGTTAGAAGTGTCATTGGATTAGAGGCTTTGTCCCCATGGAACTGGCACAGCAAATGCAAAGACAGTCCATCTCCAGGGCCTGCTCGAGAAGCCAGTCTTTGCTGTCAGTGGAGCTGTGCATCCAGGTCGTATTTCTCGCAGAATTTGTCTGTGAAGGGTATACAAGTGAGGAACTCGCACCACTCGCACTTGATGGGGTAGAAATAGAACAGAATCACCAGTCCTGAGAAGAGTGCAATGAAGATGAGCTGGAAAACTATAATTTGGCATCGTTTCCTATATAAATCAAACTTCCCAAAGCTAATGTAGGGCAGGAAGGCAAAGGAGAGGAAGAAACCACTGATAAATCCTGAAATGTGAGCGAAATTATCAATCCAAGGCAGGAGGCCAAAGGCAAAAAGAAAGAGCACCACAGCCAGCAGCTTGAAGAAAGCCCTCCATGGGCGTGCCAGGATTTGCCAACTCTGGAAGAGCTCCACAAAGAGACAGGCCAGAATTCCAAACTGGGATCCTGCAGGGCCAACCTGCAGAAGAAGAGCATTACAGATAATGTCAGGCTCATGCCACCTGCCTGGCCTCTGCAGCCAGCTCCAGGAATTAAGTTACTTCTTACTCAAATCCTGTCAGTGGTTCTTGACAAAGAGACTTGCAACTTCATCCAGATGCCAGGAGTAAAGGGGCCTGGTTAGATTTAGGATTAAGGTGTGAGGCCAGAACAGACTAAAGAGGGCAGATCTGGTTCAAGTTTCCAGAGGGGAGAAGCCTTTGAAGGCAGTCTCCTGGCTCCCCCCACCCACCATGAAGTTTTCCTTATGGAAGGAGCTGGAAGGCTCCTGCAGCTCCAGCCCTGCAGTCTCCTGTGGGCAGGGGGAGCTCTGCTCTTTGCCACTCTCAGGTGGAGGGTGTGTGACACCACACTCGATTCTGAGCCTGCCTGGGGCCTCTCTCACCCCATGGCTGGACAATCCCCCATCTGTTATGAGAGGCAGCCTTTTTCCTGCAGCCAGCCCAGGCAGTGACATGGAAAGCCCCTGGTGCCCCAGGGGATGGTGCTGCTCAGCAGTAAATGATGGTGTGGTGCCATCCTCGAGCTACAAGTGCCAAGGCTGCAGTGCTGAGCCCAGCTCTGGTGGCTGTGCCTCAGCCACAGGGGCACAGGCATGTAGAGAAGGGTTGTGCTCTGGGCAAGTTACCAGGACCCTGGGGGGGCTGCAGGAGACCCACCTCTGCTCTGTAGGGTAGAAATATTGCACTGGCAAGGTTCCCAGTGATGCCACTGAGCAGGTAGATGATGGAGATGCGGTGCCACCCTGCCAGCTTCTCTAGGTCCCGCAGGATCGTCATTTGGAAACAGACTGAAACCAGGCAGTGCAGGATCCTGCCAAGTGCAGAGTACAGGAGCTGAAGCAGCAGCCACTGAAGTCACCCCCCTGCTGTGCTTGTGTTCTGTCCCCAGCCTTGCTCAGAGTTCCTGCTCTGGCCTTAGCCATGCTGCTAATCCCTCCCAACAAACACAGGATGGCAAACCTTGGCAGAGAGCACAGCTCAGATCCCTGTGTCCCCACGAGGGACAGCCACAACCCTCACAGCAATCCCCAGGCTGAGGCTGCCCCCACCCCCATGGTGGAAGTTTTCCACCTCTGCTTACCCAGCGTGGAGGAAAAGCGAGAGCCAGAGGCGGTAGAACTGGTCAGGGACTTCTGGATTGAGGAAAGGAAGGAGCCCACAGACATCATCCATGCAGTGCACCTAGGGCAGAAATGGGTGTGGAGAGGGGTCCTTCTCCAAGCCCAGGACACACTGCAGACAGCTCTGCAAGAGGGGCTCCCCTCCCACTTCTCTTTGAACCAAGTCCCAGGCCTTGTCTCAACACGAATTTACACAACCTCATCCCCTCCCTGTGGCAGCTTTAAGCCCTCATTTTTCACCCCAGCACCCAGAGCTGAGGCATCTGCTTGCCCACACAGCAGACTGTGGGTCCTTCTCCCACTGCTGTCACAGTGATCCCATGCTGGCCTTTCACAGCTGCCAGCCCAAGTCCCAAACTGGCCCCCAAATGGGGACAGATGCAGCCACCTCTGCCACTCCAGCCAGGAGCAGCAGCTTCCTCCAGGCTCAGGGTGGGACAGGGCACAGGACTCCCACCTAATCTGCAGCACTGCCACCCCAGATCCTGCCAAGCTGCTGAGGGCACCTGGAGGGAGGAGGGC